TCGGCCATTCGAACTCTAGTTTCCACCGTCGCAGTTGGTCTCCTAGGAACTCATTGCGAACACAGCCAAGATGCCTCTGGCGGGGAATGGTACTCAGGGAGAGCACTTCTGATAACCATTTTGGCTTGAAGCAGACTTGATCTTGAGCTTGAGGTAGAGGCACACTCATACTTCGGAGCATTGGCAAGACCCGAAGAGGTACACACAGTATGCAGTCTCGGAACTTACTAAAGCTGAAACAAACTCAGATGCTCCAATTAGTGTAGGGCAACTTACATCATTTCTAACACTTGGGATTGCAAGGTTCTCCGCGTTTTTAATTCCAAGAGTTGTCAGCTCCCGAAGAGAGGTCTGCTGCATAAATTTGAAACAGTTAAACTACATATTGTGAGACCAAGTACACTAATTACTGAAGTTTTCAAAGCAGTAAACAAATGTACATTATTTATGTACATTTACGCACAGCAGTAAACAAATGAACATTATTTATGAAGAAAGGATCACAGAAAAGTAACAGCAGTGCCAGATTTGCTGCACAGCCCCTAGTAACAGTTGAGTAAAATTAATCATGAATTCATGGCAACTTACTTCTTTTACTTTTGTAAAGACACTAAACTCACATTTTGCCAGTTCTTCTTCAACAATGAAACCAGAAAATTAACACTGAATTGCACAGTTGGAAAACAGCAACTCCCATGCAGAGAACCTTCTTCAGTTGGAATTTGACTGTCACTTTTGTCTCATTAACTTTAGACGCGACAGGTTCTTGATGCGTGACAAGGGGAGGAAACTTCCCTGCATTGGAAGAATTTTTTTTGGTGGGGGGGGGGGGGGGGGGGGGATCATATTGTAGCTTCAAAATATGAGAAAAAAATTCGGAGAAAACATAAAATAAAAAAATATATATATATATATATAAACTAACTATAGAACATTACAAAACCAGATTTTTCCTCAACCAACAATGTTGGTTTTGAAACCAAAACTCTTTGTTTTGGAAGCCCATTAAGGAAATTGATAGCCTTAGTCAATTGGTATTGCACTAAACATTTAACATGTATCGCATGTTGATGCAAAAATATTTAGAAGACCTTATCAATCTGAAAAACTCATTTTTTGCAAAGCATCTGTCTATGCAAACTTTGTGATTATAATATCTATGAAGACAAATTATGGATCAATTAAATTTTGTTATTATGACATGGATGTGGGTGTGTTTGATTTGAGATTGGATGTTAAAGCTAAATTTAGCTTAACATGTACGCAATATAATGTGCTGATTTGGGAGGGTGGTCGGTTATAATTAAGATTAGATTTGGGAGGGTGGTCGGTTATACTTTGGTGTTTGCTTAGAGTTTAAACATGGATTCTTCAAGTTTCCATAGCACTTGGCATTTTCAATGCATAGAAACATATCTATATTACATTTCCCAAATAGATCATGGAAATTCACTCAAAGTGACGTATTAAAGAAGATACAATGAAGTGAAATTCTACTTAACATAGGTTTAATGGTCGAAACTTTTCAAGTATTCTTGGTTTCTATGGAATTATCATGATGGAGTGATAGGTTATATGTATTTAACAATTAATCATTAGCTTGTATTTAGCTACTTGTTTTTAATGCAGTATTTTGTTCATAATTATAGTCTTATTTCTATGGCAAACGAATAAAAATAAAAAAGGCATTGGCAGTTATAAACTCTAGCTAATTAAGTAATAAGAAACAATCTTGAGGGCAGAATGGATAACAGAGGCTGGAAACCAGTTGTACGAAGAAAAGGACCGGTAAGGTATTCAGGGGATCGTAGGGGAGGGGATCTATTTACAATTTTTGTAGACAACATCCCTAAGTCCATGAACCCCAAAGGTCTATTTGGCTTATTCTCCAAGTTTGGTGTTGTTAAGGACATGTTTATACCAGTGAAAATGAGGAAGCTAACAGGTTTGAGATTCGGTTTTGTTCGGTACGATTGTCCAGTAGCTGCTGAGGTAGCAGTGCAAAGAGCAGATGGGTTATGGTGTGATGACAAAGAGATAAAGGTCAAACGAGTAAAGTTTACCAAAGAGGAGAGAAGTATTACAAGGGGGGATAAAGTGAGCCATCAACCAGGAGGAAATCCTCAAGGGATGTTGAAGGACAGTGAGACTGTCAATATAGGCGTCCAAAAGGTTGGCATACTGAGATGGCGAGATTATGGAGGGAGTAAGTCCTATGTCGAGGTGATTAGAAATGGCAGCAGCTATGGGAAGGAGGAAGCAATTGTTCAGGTTAGAGAAGTAGGAAATAGGTGGCTGTATAAAAGCCTAGTTGTCAAACTCCACAAATTTTTCTCATTCCCAGCTTTCAAGGAGGAATGCAAGAAGAGAGGCTTGATGAAGGTGCAAGTCAGAGCAAAGGAATGAAGGATAGCAGTGTTATCATTTCAATCAGTTCAGGAATTGAAGAGTAGTAAGGAGAGTTTAAAGGAATGGATCTTTAAATGGTGTAGTTCAATGGAGGAGTGGCATCCGGGGTACATAGTTGATTATGAAAGATGTGTATGGGTAACCTGTTATGGTATACCCTTTAATTTGTGGAGTGTGGATACATTTCGAAGCATTGGTGTGATATGGGGAGAAGTCATGCAATTTGATGATTATACTATTAATAATGTCTCATTCCACTGTGGCAAAGTTACAATTATAACCAAGAGTCTAGACTTCATTCACCAGACGGTGAAGCTATTTTGCAAGGAAAAAGTGTATCCAGTAAGAGTCTGCGAGAATTTTGATTCTACAGCAGTAACGGAGCAGGCTCCGTGCAATTGTATGACCAATTTTATGTACATTTACGCACAGCAGTAAACAAATGAACATTATTTATAAAGAAAGGATCACAGAAAAGTAGATTTGCAGATTGAGTTATTTATGATGTAGGCTCTCTAGCTTAGGCTAAGGTTGCTTCCATTATAGATGATGGGAGATGGAGATGGCCTGTGTGCCAGACTTGGGAATTAGATGACATTAAGGCTAATGTTCAGGGTAACCCAACTAATATGGAGGATAAAGCTATTTGGCTGGCATCCTCTGATGGGTGCTTCTCTATTCAATCTGCTTCGAATTTGTGGAGAACCCAGCACCCTAAGGTGTAGTGGGCTAAACTTCTTTGGCTCAAGCAATCACTTTCCCAGCCAGCATAGTAGATCCTCAAACATGGAGAGTTCAACTACAATCAAAGCAAAAGTGGGTATGCTCCCACGCTACCAATAAGGGTTCGATTCCCCTCCTGTTTACCTGGTTCAAACTTGGCGGTGGCCTACACCTAGCACAAATTCTCAGTCATTAGCCTTGACATTTATATGAAGTTGTGACTGCAGCCCCGCGCAATTTTGGGACACATAAATCTAATTATCATCCTGGAGAGAAGCATCTGCTGCTAGAGATGCTAGAGCAGAGACTACTACTCAAAATAAACAGAGGGCTGCAGTATGACCTTCCACAACTTAAACCATAGGTCAAATGCATATTTTAACATAGAACAAAATCCTATCTAAATGTAACCATAACCTACCATAAAAATCTTGCCAGAGAAAGCTGGCAGACACAATAATGCAGCTGAATAGGGGATCCATAAAGACCACAGAAATACCATCCCAGTTAATACAACTTGACACACAGATCGTGATAAGGCAACAATAAGTAACTCGACAAACCGCTGCAACATGAAGACGACGACATGACTGACTTTCAGACACCCATACTGAGCAATTGCTGGACTGGACAACGACTCTGGACCTTCCCAACTGAGAGTAATAGCTGCAGCCGTGAGAGTTTGTGTGCATGTGATGTTCTGAACTGTATTAGAGCACCACACATAATTATGCAGCACCATTCACAGACCACTGGTTCTTGACATGAAGGCTGCATTTTCAGCTTTATGTACAGTTCTGGTTTCCTAAGCTATCCTTTGAAGGCTTGTTGACTAGAGCACCACACAGAATTTTACATAATAGTAATTATTAGTATAATTATTATTATACTAATATCAAAGGGAAAACCTCTCTCTCACTATTTGCATATGATGTCAGTAGATCCTCACACTTAAACCAATTCATTAGAAAATTCATAGATGGGAACAAATGTGATGTTTGCAAAAACACATTTACTACTTGGTGGGCAACTTAAAAGAAATGGAAGTTTGTAACCCTGCAAACGCAATTATCACAGATTAAACAAGCATGAAGCAATTAGTCTTAAGAACACATGATTTACTATAACTTGTGATTTACCATTGAGATAGTATATGGTTCATAATTTCCATTATGGCTAGTATGTAGTAACAATATAAAGAACTTACATTCTATATAAGGGACCTAGCACCTAAGCATATCAGTGAAGCATGAAGCAGCCAAAGTGGACAAAGACAGCGGCGAACTGTCAAACTCAGCAAACAGAGACAGAGCAGATGTGCAAACCAGCACAAATTGTGGGAAAAGCAGCCAAACAGCACAGGTGTCCGACTGGAAAAACTGAACTGAGTATGAATTTGGTTTTTCATTGCAGTAATGGTTCTAATTGTGCTTCACAATCTGACATAAGTAATGAACAACCTCAATGGGGAACCATGACAAGTTTTAATATATATTTATAAGCTTATATATGCGTTTGTCACGGAAACCCCCAACGTACGCATGCTAATAACGTCCCACAGGTCCTTTTTGACATGAGAAAGATACCCGTGGCATCCATAGAGTGCTTCAGGGGCTGTTTTGAATTTCCGGCCCCAAAGGCATTTTTCGGCTAAGTTTATGGCGTTTACCACGCCAACGCCCAACATACACGTGCTAATTACATCCTGTCTATCCCCATTGGTCCTATGTGACATGAGGAAGCTACCCGTGCGATCCCTACAGTGGGTCGGGGGTTGCTCACAATTTTCGACCCTCGAAGGCCTTTTTTCGGCTATGTTTATGGCGTTTTTCACGCCAACTCTTAACGTGCACATGCTAATTATGTCTCGTCTGTCCCCACAGGTCCTATTTCACACGAGGAAGCTACCCGTGCCATCAATACAGTGGTTCGGGGGCTGATCTCAATTTTCAGCCCTTAAAGGCCTTTTTCGGCTAAGTTTATGGCGTTTTCAGCTGAATTACATCATTTGTATAATGCTTCAGCTGAATTATTATGTTTGCCTTTTTATCAGTGAATTAAGGTATGAACTCTTCATCAACTCAATTTGCCGCTTCAAGAATGATTGGTTTATATGAGCCAATCCACCACCTGGTTAGCATGTAGGAGAAGACATTTAATTGATTTTAGCCTGAACACAGGCACATCTGCAATTGTACAGGTGGATGCAACTGTAGGCAACAAGGTGAGGATTCATGGAATTTTCTCCCTTAGTTTAATGAAATTTGGTTGTTTATTCCTATGGCTATATTGTAACCGATTTCCTTGATTTGATTCTCTAGTTTGAATATACTTCTTATGAGTCAATAAGCTCTCGGAAAACAACCAAGAACCAAAGAAAATGTCTGATAAGGTGATTAGAATGCATGGCACACTCCTTCACCTTTCTCTCTTAGAATCTCTGTCTCCTATGTTGTAAAAAGTATGGAACAATGGGGTTTGGAGATAAGGAGAATGAAAGAGAAAGATGCACTATGCTTGTTGATTAACACATGCTTCTTGATTAAATGGTGGTGGAGGTTTGGTGTACAGAAAGATGCACTATGGAGAAGAATTATTTGCAGCAAATATATATTGGATGTGGGTAGTTGGCATTGTGTCCATTGCAAACCAGAGTAATATCCTACTAAGGTTTTACTCAGATAATTGTCAAATAAGAGTTGGGGATGGCCATAGAATAAAATTCTTGTCTGATAGATGGTGTGTTAACAAGAGCCTGAAAGAAGAGTTTTCTATTCTATATAGATTGGTTATGGATAAAGGAGTGTCCTTCAACTCAATGTCAGTGATGAAATAAAGTGCAGGTGATTAGGAGTTTCAGTTTAGAAGGCAGCTTATGATTCAGAAAATGTGGAGGTTTTAAGGATCAAAACTTTGTTTGCATCAGCTCCTGTAGCTAGGCCAAATCAGGTTGATAACCTGTTGTGGGCAGCCTCAAGCACAAGTGTTCATCCAAGCACTTTCTGGCCCACAACTCTTAACCAGTAAATTGGTATAGGTAAAGTTTATTCCCTCAGAGTGTAGTTCTTAGGCTGGTTAGTTTGGAAGAGAAGATTGAAGACAATTGAGTTTCTCCAAAAATAATACAAGCGAATAACCATATCGAAAAAGAACAATCTAAAATTCTCAATATACAAATTAAAAACTCAAAAAACTGCTTTTGAAAAATCCAAACCAAATATTAATTTTCTTTTACACATTATTCAGTGCAAATTAGTGTTGGTTTTATTTGTAATTTCTCCAAATTAGTCACCCTCAATGTCTTTGAGCACAACTGTTTGAAAAAAGTTCCAAACTCAAATAATGTGGTCCCAATCTCGGTAGAAAGGTATCCTCGCATCCTAATGAGAAGAAGTCGTTGTAGAAGGACATGACAGTCATGACTCTTGAGGCCAACTAACTTACCACCATTCGTGATGACACAATTGGATACATTTGCCGCATAGCCATCAGGATACTTAATTGATTTCAAGAAATCAGAAAACCCTATTTGTTTTGCCGCGGACAATGTGTACAATGTCGGAGGCTTCTGGAAAGAGCCATTCGCATGCCTTATCAAGTGTAACTCCTTTCGTATTCGCATGTCCTCCAGATCCAAACGTGCTTTGTTGGTATCCTTGTTCTTGCCATCAATGCTCAATAGTGTCCCAAGCAGATTGTCACATATATTCTTCTCTATGTGCATGACATCAAGGTTATGTCAAAGCTTAAGTGTTTTCCAATAGGGTAGGTCGACCAAAATGCTTCTTTTTGTCCAGTTCGGAGTTGGATTTTCAGTATGTTGTCTTTTTTGGTTGGTTGGATGCTTTCCATATGGCCTGTACGTACCCAAATTAACTTGCTCCAGTATTTGTTCTCCCGATAACTCGACAGGTTTGGACCGATTCTCAATGTCACCGTTGAATAGCTTACTTCTACGCCAATTATGGTTCTCAGGTAAGTACCGCCGAGCACCCATAAACCCTATCTTATTGCGCAAACGCTGAGATGATGCATCCACGTTACAATTAGGGCAGGCCAAGTAACCTTTTGTACTCCAACCAGACAACGAACCATATGCAGGGAAATCATTGATGGTCCACATGACTGCTGCATGCATTGTAAATATTTGGCCGGTAGAGGCATCATATGTTTCCACACCATGCTCCCACAAGTTAGTTAACTCTTCTACTAATGGTTGCAAGTAAACATCGATGTCCCTTCCAGGTGCAGATCGTCCAGGAATAAGCAATGAC